GTGAGCGGCGAGATTTGCATCTGAGAGAATAGAAGGAGAGAGAGAGAGAGAGAGAGAGAAAAAAAGAAAACGGGACTGAGGGAAAACCTAATTCGCGTAAACTAAAAGGGCTTTGTTTCTGTTTAATCAGATATGGCCAGTTTTATTCTAACAAAATAGAACTCGCCTAATAAAATAAAATTTTATATTTTATATTATATAATATATATTAAATACTGGACCGGTCCGGTTTTGTCTTATGTAAAATCGAAACCAGAACCGGTTTCAACTGGTCCGGTCCGGTTCGGTCCAATTGTGTTGATTTTTTAGTCAACTCAGTTTCCCCCCCCCTTTTTTTTTCCTTCTAGTGCGGTTCGATTTTCCGATTTTTCGGGTCATATGCCCGCCCTGTTTGAAAAAATGAATTGAGATTTTACAAGCAAACATGGCAGTTCTTTGCGTCATTTTCTTTTTCAGGTCAATATAGACTAGAGCTTGTTTTGATGTTGTAGCTACCCAATGAATTAGCTACCAAGCACTATATTGATAAAAAAAATAAAAAAAATAAAAGTAAAGCAAATATATATATATATACTTAAATTTAATGCTGCCCTTTCCTAATCGTATTTATCATACCTTATTGACCTTCAACTAATAACAAACAACAAAGGCAAGTGCAATTTGCGCCTCAACCCAACCCAAAACAATGGGCTGCAATTAGTACTTTCTATTTTCTTAGCCCATGATAATGTTGGGCTGGCCTAAACCCTACCAAAAATTTCAAGGTTCTTTTTACAAAAGCGCTTCTAACAAAATCATTTTTGAGCAAAAGTACGTCATGCAACTAACCCTTAACAAACAAATTAGTGGTTAAAGGCCCAATTTGGGATTGCTGTCACTTTTTAAAAGAGTTTCTTTTGCTGTGCATTGAAAATAATTAGCTGTAAAATAAAGCAACTCCATGTTTGGTAAACAATATTTTTAAAGTGTTGTTAGTATAAAAAGCAGTGTCAAAACCGTTTGGTAAAGTTTAATATAAAATTGTTGTAACTGTGAATAATAACTAAAATAGACATGATGTTAAAAATGTTATGTACTAATCATGTGGTGGTAGTGGTAGTGATGGAGTGGAGATGGTGGTGGTGATGAAGGTGGAGTTGGTGGTTGTGGTAGTGGTGGAGGTGAGGATGATGGTTGTGGAGGTGGTGGTGGTGGTAGTAGTGACAACATGGTGGTGGTAGTGGCAGCATGGTGGTGGTGGTGGTGTTGGTTGTGGAGATGGTGGTGGATGTGTGGAGGTTTTGGAGGATGAGGTGGTTGTGGTGGTAGTGCTGCTGGTGGTGGTGATGGTGGTGGTGGAGGAGGTGATGATTGTGGTGGTGGTGGCGGAGGATGAGGAGAAGGATGTGGTGGTGGTGGTGGTGGTAGTGGTGGCAGTGGCGGTGGTTGTGGAGGTGGTTATGGAGGTGGTGGAGGTGGAGGTGGAGGAGGTGGTGGTGGTGGTAGTGATGGCAATGATGGTGGTGGTAGTGATGGCAATGATGGTGGTGGTAGTGATGGCAATGACGGTGGTTGTGAAGGTAGTGAATGTGGTGGTGCAAATGGTGGAGTTGGATGTGGAAGTGGAGGTGGTGACATTTCTTAAAATGAATGCTGGTATTTTGGAAATAAAAAAAATTCATTAAAGGTTTATCTTTGCTTCTTTTGAAAGCAGCTTTGAAAAGTAACCCAGAGCCTGCTTTTAAAAGCTGCTGTCAAAAGGCCACTGTTTTTAAAATAATCGGGATATTTTATTTTTACCAAACACCTTAAACTGCTTAACTTTAAAGTCAAGCAGGCGATTGTTGAAATTGGATTAGTGAGAAATTAATTGAGTGATTAAGAGTAATGAGAGGCGATTGGTTGTGTCAGAGAAGGCGAAGAAGGATGAGATTAAGAAGGCGGAGCGCGCGGCGGAGCTGATGGTGGACGCAGTGAATGGCAGCATTCAAGAGTCGTTGGTGAACGAGAAGCTAAGTGAGTATGAAATTAGGGCCTTGACCGCCACCATCACTCGCTTCACCAAACAGACCGATCAATGGCTCTCTGTCACTCATTCTATGAACTCCGCCATTAAGGTGGATAGAATTTCAATTATGCATTTTCGGTGATTTTCAGTTTTTCTTTTGTAAATTTAATTAATGTTGGTTTTTAAAGATGGGGTTTTTCTTCTTTGTGCGGCAGGAAATTAGAGATTTTGAGAATTGGATGAAGATCATGGAGTTTGATTGTAAGAGTATCACTGCAGCTATTCACAACATTCACCAAGCATGATCAAGCAGCAAGGTGTTAATCTTCACCAATTTCCATGTAATTTCTGATTATCTTCTCTATAATTTGTGAAGCATCTCAATTATAGAATAATAAACCTTGCTTCTTTTTGTCCCATATGGTATTTCACTTTTCACAATGTGCAAATCTGCTTGAAAACTAACTGAATTTAGTAGGATTTATTAGGGAAATTAGGACAAGGCTGCCAACACGGCTGTTATAATGTATCATAGTCACTCAGGCAGGTGCCGGGTGAACTGTCCCTAGCATCCCTCTTTATGAATGAGAGGGAGGCAAGTATATATCTACCTTGCTTTAATTTGGTCACAATTGACATTGTAATGGCCTTTCCAAAATTTAACTAGAAATCAAATGACAATTGTATTTTGAAGAGGTCACATGAAGAGATGAAGAAGGAAAATGTCAAATGCAAAACGCAGCAACTTGTATCAGAAAACAGAAAACTCAGGTTGGCTTTTGGCTGACTCTGAGTTGAGTGTCAACATCTTAGGGATTAGGGTTAGGGTGGACTAACCAATAGCACATTACATCAGCTAATTCTGAAAAGGGTTTAATTAGATGGGATTTGTATTCTAATCTAGTACTAATCCTCTGTTTCACCGTTGACTTCCCAGTAAGACTTGGTCTGAACGGTGATTGTTAACCTGGATTTCATTAAAAATTAATCTTAAGAATAGAGTCGGCCACCTAACCATTTACTTGTTTTCTACTTCAGTGCTGCAATTTGGTTATGGTCGTGGAGAGAACTATCATTTTTTTTGCAGATTGTGTGCTGGAGGAACGACTTTGGGTTCTGCATTTATCTTACTTCCCCCAAAACAGACACCAAAGTCTTTGTAAGCAGCTGTGTTTTGTTAATGTAAAAACAGAAAACTATAATCAAATAGAGATAAAAACAAACACCAATGTGGGTTTAAGCATCTGTGTTTAAAATTAAGCAGGGGGTTTCCCGATCGCAATCCCTTGCAACGCAAGACATGAACGGTGGATATTAAAATGGTTTCATAATTAAAGAGATGACACGGATTAGGGTGGTAAGCAAAGCTGCTTTAGCATTTTGAAAAGAAAAATTAAAGTCAATACAGTTGGCTTATATATAACATACTCTGCTAATTAATTAATTAATTGAGTCGGCAAACATTAGAAAGGAACTTGCCATATGTCAAATGAAAAATACATAGCGTTACATAAGACAATTGCGAATTTGACAATATCAAACAAGTACCTGGTACCACCTCAACAAAGATATCAAACATTTGGGGAAAAAAAAACTTGGACGACAAGAAGTATGCCATGTCTTGCAATATAATGTCAAAGAAAATCTTTATTATTAAATAAGGTAGTTCATTTTTTGGGTACATAACAACATAACAGATTACACTTAGCCATGATCATGAACATCAAATCATGTCAATGGACTTCAAAAACTTTAATTGTTACAGAATAGGCCAACAAATGTATATCAAGTTAACACCGTTTCTCACACGCAGTTTCTTTCTACGCATGGAATGACCAAAAAAAAAAATACAAACTAGAGAGAAACATATAGATGCAAACCAAACCCGTGCACCTCGCACACCAACCAAAAAGTGGAGGAAAGAAAACTGGAGGATTCGTACCCTAAACCTCCTCCAAACCAAGCTCCGGCACATGTTGGACAATCACTAAATCCTAAAAGCTTAAACTTTTAGGAAATGGTCACAATGTCTATCAAGCATATAGAATCGAAAATTCGATTCTAATTGATTTTCCGGCAGTTGACTCTTACTTCTCCATTATTCCCAGTGAGAGGCTTGATGTTGCCCATGTTGATCATAGAATTTGCAAAGTCTTTTGCAAAAGATTCCGAGTTCCTGCTGTACTTCAGCACCAGCTTATCACTATCTGTACCATTATTTTTATAGAGCTCTTGATCAGAATGGAGGAGACCCTTTTGTTGTAACAAAGCCTTAAAGTAGACGTTATCGAATCGCCTTGTAGTTGAATCTAGTGGCCTTGTGTTGTTATCTCCTCCAGTTGTTGGACAATTGTATTTTGCAGAGGCTGCGAACTTGGGGTCTATGTTGGTATCATTGTAAATCCTGGCACGGAAGGTGGTGCACCGAGCAAGTCCAATGGTGTGAGCAGCTGAGAGCACAACCAAGTCTTTCAGGTTAAGTCCATGAGCTTGGAAGTTGGAGAGAAGCTGTGAGAAGCTGAATAATGGGGGTGGAAGATTTCTGTTTGCATCGTTCACGCTTGCATTTCTTGCATCCCTTCTTCCTAATTGTACTTTGTAATCAGGTCCTCCCAACTAAAACACAAACACAAAATTTCATTAATAAAAACATTTCATTCCATGTCTAAAGAAAATGAGTACTGTCAGCATCACCAAATTTGTCCGCCAGATGAATATTAGGGTTTAGTATGAAATTGGAACGTATACTGGGACAATATTTGGTGAACACATCTGATGAACCTAGCAATATTAGCAAACATGTATATACTCACAATGGATACAGAATCACGAGCTGCAACAGCTAATATATCTGCACATGAGACCACACTCTTGTAGCAAGCTTTGTCGACAGCTTTTTTGATATCATCGATCACGTTGAATCCCCGGATCGAATTCAGATTTGGGAAGGCGGTCTTCTCACCGATGAAGTTGGCAGTATCATCAAGCAGAACTGATCCATCGCAACCCTGTATCAATTCAACCATGAACACATATCAGGAAAAAAAATTTAGAACTGATCATTTACATGAACAACTATTTCAAGTGCACTATATGCATGCACAATCAATATAAGCTTAATTACATTAACAAAGCAGTCATGGAAATGAAGGCGAAGTAGAGAGGCTCCGATGCGTGGCTCCTGGCTGATGGCCCGTTTGACGACTTTTCTGATAGCTGGCAGTGCCTGAGGGCACACTTTGTTGTAGAAACCAGAACTTAGTTTTGCAGATGTTGGCATCATACTAGTGGCAGCTACCACTACAAAACAGATGATCACAAGGAAAGATCGAAGAGCAGCCATGGCAGAAGGTTTTGATCTTGTCGAATTGGTGAATAGTGATGATGAAGATCAAGGAGTTTGAGTGCTTATATATATAGAAAATTTGCGTTGCCCACTTGTTATTTCCAATTATAATAGAAAGCTTGTTAAATTAGATGTATAGACCAATTCTAATATGAGTAATTTTTGGTGCCTAGTATGATTTGATGATTGCATGGACCTGTTCCACGTAATTTGGAGCGTTAAATCCTCTTCTCTGTCTTTTCGTCTGAGCCAAGAGATGTAGAAGCTAAGGCAAACATACCACACCTCTTTTAATACTGAACTAATTAGTGAATAATTAAGATTGATTAACAAATATTTGACCATAAAAGAGTAGTCAGCACTTGCTGATAGAGAGTACATCAAGCTGATGATCAGAAGTTTAAGGGCAATTAATTTAATTAGAGGACGTGATTAAGTAGAATGATTAATGGCTTTCTGCTGTCACTTATTTTATGAACAGCATGCCACTTTTCTTTTTAATTGTGTACTTTTGAAGTAGTTTTTCATTTCCTTGCAAGTTATAAATGCTGGTTTTTAAGGGTGTGTTTATGTGTGGCACTGGCAGGAAATTGGAGGCATTGAGAACTGGATGAAGATCATCCAGTTGTGGAATGAAAAATAAGTAGACGCGATTGTTATTGGAGTTCGACGCATGCATGTGTACATATATAGGTTACTTAATTGTTGTTGACGATGACATGCCCCAATCCAGATACGAACACGTGACAAGTGTATTAGGATCACCTACTTCATTTCATTCAAAGTTGACATTGGAGTAACCTATCTAAGATTCAACAAGAAATTCAGTGTAGCTTAGTTTAAAAGAGGCCACATGAAAAGATACAATAGAATAATGTCAATGTAAATCATTGCTTGTACCAGAAACTCAGGATTTGGAAATTGCCTTGGCTTTTGGCTGCTTCCAAATTGAATGTCAACTCCAACTCCATATGAATTAGTAGTAGGTAATTACTAATTAGGATGGATTAACCAATAAAACAAGTTTCTCAAATATCCGTTCAAATCCAGTCATTCTTTATCTTCACCATTTGACTTAAGACTTGGTCTATTAACTAACCTAAGATTCCATTAAAACTTTAATCTTATAGTATATAGTTAATTGGTCACCTAACCATTTACTTGTTTTCTTATTTAGTCTGCAACTTGGATACTGTCGTGGGAGAGAGAAACCATCGCCATTTTCAGATTGTGTGTGGATGTGGATCAATGTTGTCGTCTTGTCTTCTTCCCCAGAATTAGACATCAAAAGTTGGTGCAAGCTAAGCAACGTCTATTCTTTTTTAAATCAAACAAAAACAGAGGGGTTTTCCCAATTTCAGAATCAAAGCCTTGCAAGTATGCCGACGGTGGATATAAAAAAAAAACAGTTTTATAATTTTATATATAAATGATGGGTAACCATGATTTCTTGTACATGATTTATACTAGAAGTCAATTACTTTTGGCTTATTATAATATACGTTTTGCTTTGCCGTTTAATTGCCATACGTCAAAAGACGATCGAGAGACTTGGCCTTTTCTGCCTCTCCTCCATGATCTTTGTCTTCAATATTCACAACATGAATAGAAGTGTCATACAAGTTAGCATGATATTCCCGCGTTTCATTATTTCAAACAAGTACCCCCTCCATAAAAATATAATGAACTTATTATTCAATATGAGAGTGTGCATTATTGTGAACATTAAACCATCCTTATACTAGGTCGATCAATAATAATGCTAGAGACATCACATTTGCTCGTTAAATGACGATTTGATATTTGTTAGTGACAAATAAGGTTCATAGTTGACTCAAATTTAAACAAATGAGGTACTTTTTACATCATTTCGTGAACAAATTTTTTTAAGTGTAACACTACTCCATCAGGAAGCAAACTTGTTTAGTTAGAATATTGGACTGCCTGCAAAAGCACAGG